CACAGATTAAAATTAGACCCTTATCTTTCGCCATGCACTAAATTAAAATCCAAATGGATTAAAGATCTAAATATTAAAACAGAAACATTAAACTTGCTGGAAAGTAAGTTAGGCAGAACTCTGGAAGACATTGGTATAGGAAAAGACTTTATGAACAAATCCTCAGTAGCACGGGAACTAGCAGAAAGAATCAACAACTGGGATCTCATCTTACTAAAAAGCTTCTGTACTTCAAAAGAAACCATTAGCAGAACTAAGAGACAATCTACAATGTGGGAAAAAATTTTTACCAGCTGTACCTCAGACAAAGGACTATTATCAAGGATATATAAAGAACTCACCTTTCTTTTTAATCTTTTATTCTTTTGCATTTATATTTTCTTCCAGGCTCTTTGAAGTTTTAAGGAGGTTGTTGCTCTTGGCTGTTTGTAGGAAACACCAAGGAGAATTCAGGTCTTCAAGGAGCCAGCAGACTCAGAAGTTTCTGGGCTCTGCAGGGTTTCAGGTGCAAGTTTTAAGCTCACATTTATCAATGGTGAAAACTTCCCGTTTTTCCAAGTCTCTGGGATAATGCAGCAGAGTGACAATGCTGAATGGTTCTTCTTGTTCCTGGCTTTAGGGCAAATGTCTCCAGATCCATACCCTATTATTAAATATTACATGAAGTGCTGCCAATTCTCTCCAGACTGCTGGTTAATTTTTCAATTAAGAAGGTTTTCTTCTATCAAATATTCTTTCAATATCTATCAAGTACATTGAGTACCTTTTCTTTTTCGACCTACTGGTGTTATAAATCAAAACAATAGACTCCTTAAGGTAGAGCCCATTCCCCCAAGGTGGGACATGGCCCAATTATCTTTCTTGAGGCAGAGCAGTTTTGTGATTCTATTTCCCTGGCAGTGGCTAGGTCCAGCCTCACTGACCAATCTGCTCCTATCTTGTGCACACACCTGCTTGCTGCATCACGGTCTTTGTGGTTTTCTGGACATTTGCACAGAGATACATGTGGGGGATTGGTGTTTCCAGCCCGGTAGCTTTGCTGAGTTTTGAGTCTCTTCCACTGCCTGAGGAGCTCAGCTTCTGAGGGCCACTGTCCAGGTGCACGTGGGCTATAATGTGTGTGTCCTCTGGCCATGCCCTCACTGCTGGTGCAGTGGCCCCTCTTACTGCCAATGTGTTTTGCAGAAACCAGGTCCCTAGCTGGAAAGAGGAGCAGGAAGAACGATGCTGATCAATCTGAACTACTTCTTATGTAGGAAACTCACTTCTATGTGTATTAACTACTCTCACCCCCGGCTGTCACCAGTCTCATGGAACACGTGCTACATGCACACTGCTCATGTGTGCACACGTGCAGGCAGGCATGGTTTATCCCAAATTTGCTAAACCAGAATTTCCAGAAAAGCAACTGTTTAAGGACGGTAAGAGTGTGTCATATGCACTTGGCTTCAATTTCCTAGTTTTTGTTTAGGATTTTTGTATTTACTGGGTAAGTTTGGGTTGGAATTAATCTCATTTGCATGTGGTTTCAGGATTGTGCTGGTCTGCTACAATGAGGATGGGCACTTTCCCTTTTTTCTGTGCTCTGGATGGATTCTTTTACAGATGGAAGGTTCCCAAATCTGATGTAACTTAAACCACCCAGCCTCAGTGTTTTTTATTGCCTGTGTCCCATACTCAGTGGAGACCAAACTTAAAGACTTCATCTCCGATGCCTTTGGCATTTTCTAGCTCTGCTGCCTGCCTGCCCATCCATCTGTCATCTGTCACTCTGCCTAGCCCTCCACCCACTGCACACACTGTTTAGTCATTTCCATGGCACTAGGAAGGAAGAGCAGGGCTCCTTGTCAGGCTCCAGCATCTTCTCATTTCTCTTGTCCCCACTGACCTGTTACTAGCATAAAAGGGAGTATTTAGTCATTAAAATAGCATGCATCAGTAGTGTCTAATAGAGATACTTTATTTTCATTGTAGGAAGCATTTAAGAGGAGTAAAACCATAAAGTTTATGACTAATCTTTCACTTGCTGTTTCCCTGTGGCTGGTGTCACCCTGGCCACTTCTTCTCTCCCTGGGTCACTGGAACTCTGTCTGTTTAGCTGCGGACAGCAGGGGCTCCTATGAGCAGCAGCCTCCTGGGGGCAGCCCCAGGCCCTTTGGGACCCACTTTTCAGCATGGTCCTAAGCTAGCACCTGGTGACAGGATGCTTTTTTTCTTTTTCTTTGGCATACTGGTGATTTTCAGTGGTGCTGTCTTTTGCAGAGAGTGAATTGCAGCTTCCTGGTGATAGCACTTCCCTGGAATGGTGAATTCTCGGTGTTGAAGAAGGAGTGCAGGAAGATCCAAGTCTGAGGGTCGTCTGGAGAACACCCTACTACCCTGGCCTTCTGAAATAAAAGCAAGGGTGGTGCCAGTGTCACCACGCACTCTCCAAGCTCTCTTTGCCGGCTGTCTCCATTTTGGTTTCATATGGAGTGGGAGTGTGGTTTTCCCTGCTGCCTGCTCCTCGCTCTGCTGTGTACGAATCTCTAGCGAGGTCCACATCCATAGCAAAAAGTAATATAGGGACGGATCTCCTTGGGTGGGGTAATAATTCTACAGTGATCAGATCTCAGGGCTGCCAACTCAGCAATGTCTTCCTGATTCCTCCTTGGGAGCTGGAGGCTCCTTCCCCTCTGACAGTCCTGGTGTACCGGCCCCCTAGTTGGGGCACCCCTAGTCTTGGTCAGCATTGCCTGCCTAGGGGCTGTAGGGGCTGGGAGTGCCCTGGGGCCCTTGTCCTCCTTCCTGTGCTGCCTTCAGAACATTGACTGCATGTTCAGGGTGTGCAAAAGCAGCAGAGACAGACAGCCATCAACCTGTGGAGTCTGGATTATGAGGAATGCCCCAAGTCCAGCCTTCCTGTCACTCAGACAAAATACCTGACACCCACCTCTTAAAGGAGAGGTTTAATTTGACTCTAATGTTGGGGGTTTCAGTCCCAAGTTGGCTAGAAGCAAGGAGGAGCAGCATGGTGGAGGGTCTGGTGGAGGAGAGCTGCTTACCTCATAACAGCTGGGCTGCAGAGAGAGAAGCGAGGAGCAAGGCAGGAGATACACCCTGTAAGGTCAAGCACCCAGTGACCCCTCTTCTCATACTCTGCCTCCTAACAACCTGCTCAGCTCTGAAGTCACCAATGGATAAGTCCGCTGATGAGCACAGACCCCCCTGCCGTGGTCCAGTCACCCTCCAAAGCACCACCTCTGAACACTCTTCTGTGTATGTGTGGGTATGTGTGTACACACGTGTATGACTCGAGTTCAGGTTCAATATAATATAGCGCTGTAAAATATCCCCTGTAAAGAAATGAATTGAGGGCTGGGGATTTAGCTCATTGGTTCTGCTGACTGCCTGAGTTACAAAGTCCCCCTGCCGTGGTCCAGTCACCCTCCAAAGCACCACCTCTGAACACTCTTCTGTGTATGTGTGGGTATGTGTGTACACACGTGTATGACTCGAGTTCAGGTTCAATATAATATAGTGCTGTAAAATATCCCCTGTAAAGAAATGAATTGAGGGCTGGGGATTTAGCTCATTGGTTCTGCTGCCTGCCTGGCAGTTACAAAGTCCTGAGTTTAATCCCTGATACAAAAAAAAAAACTCCACCAGAATTCAAAGGGAAAACCAAGTGGCCGTAAAAGTGCAAGCTGATTTCCCTTTGCACTTTTTGGTTCTCAGAGTCAGAGAACTAAGTATGGCAAGGGGGTTGGGATGGATGGGCCCCCTCTTTGAGCCCCAGTTTGGATCCATGGTGGCAGTCCCAGCCACGGCCGGGAAGCAGAGGGCACTGTGATGTTGCAGTTCACATCTAAAACATCCCCTAACGGTGAGTGTTTAAATTAAAAAAAAAAAAACAACTATTAAAGTAAAAGACACGTTGTTATGAATCCCCCTCAAGATACTTCCCATCACTTCACATACACTCAGCCCATCATTTGTGTCACTTTCTGAAGGTCTGGAAGTCCTCTTTTCTGGGTGTCTTTGTGAAATGTGATAAAAAAAATATGGTGAATATGCTGCCGAGCATTGAAAGGCAGGCTCTTAAAAACATGGCAGTGTCCTCATTCACCTCATTAACTGTATTTGGCATTGTGCAACCTCTGGCTCTTCCCCAACGTCAAAATAACCATGGAAAGGAAACTTTTGGAATCATTTTAGAAAGTGGCAAGGATGAGAGGATGGGTATGTGCAAAGTGAGAGGCTGGATCTGAGGAGATTCGTGGCAATGTGTCACTTACTGTAATGATTTTTAAATGTAACCATTCACCATATTTTTTGTCACACTGCGTGCATATTCACATCATACATGTCAGGGAGATTGGAGGGTCTGCAGATCCCACTACGGGGAGGCTGTGCGCAGCTGCAGGAAGAGGGCAGTCACTTTCCATGCCTGTTCACCCCTTCGTGGGTGTTGGGACCTTCTGTCCCCCTCAGCCCAGCTGTTCCATCCTTGTGAGGCCTGTGTCTCCTCCCCTGGGGCCAGGCCCTGCTTACAGAGCCCATTCATGCACAGATGCCCACATACACTGTTGTCCCACCTGCATCAGGGCTGTGTCCTGGGGCTGCAGCTTTCTGCCCCTCCTCTGTGTCCCTGACGAGCAGGGGCTGTGGCTATCTGTGTGGATGGATAACAGAAGGGCTTGGGGTGTACACAGTGGGTCCGGCTTGGATTGAGGATGTTGAGGGTGGAGGGAGACCTCCTCTCACAGCTTACTCTCCACAGGAGCAGGACCTCAACCTCTGGCCAGGGCCCTGTTCTCTGCCACGTTGGAGCAGAAGGAAAATGGGCTTCATGTGTGGTTGGGCTATGGGAGCTGAGCTGGCCAGGGGGATGTGAGGACCAAAGCAGGAGTGAGTTCTGGCGACTTCAAGGCCACTGGCAGAGGATGCAGCCCTGGCTAGAGATCTTGACTCAGTGCCATCATGTTCCAGTTGAGGTTGTCACCATGTTACCCGCTCACACATCAGAGGGACCTGAACCTGGCTACTGCAGATAGGTGTGGGATCCATGGAGGGCTGGGGTGACTTCTCCCGTGGTCTGGGTTACAGATGGATTTGGACACCTGCATCTGTGACCATCGGTGGAGTTGGGCCTGGGTGCTGGGAACACAGCAAACAGGAGGAGGGTGCTGGGCTCTGCCATGTTCTCCCACCACCCACAGAGATCTCATCCTGCCAGGCAGTGGAGCTGTGCCAGTCTGTGGGAAACCTTTGATCCCTAGCTGAATGATTTTTGCAACTCCCAAGTAGGTCAAGGATAGCAAAGTGCAGGGGTCTGTTCCAGAGTTTCAGCCAGAGCAACCCCCCAGGCCTGTCTCTGCACAGGGACCCTGAGTGGCCAGTGCCTCCCACCACAGTGTCTCCAAAGAAAACAGTGGTCACACAAGTGTGAATGGCTTAGATCCTCCCACTACCAGGCAGGTAATTCCATATTTTTAGGAACCAAGGTCTAATATGAAAAAGTTTAGAAAAGACAATTACAAAAATATAACAAGCAAAGAAGGTTCTATGTGAGCAGAGAGAGGAAAGTAAGTCTCAGAGACTAGAAAGGATGACATTCCAGGTATTGGAGAAAATGTAAGGGGGTAAAAAAGCTGATATAATCTTTAGGGAGGAGGCCACAGTGTGCATTTTTGTGTCATTGCTCACCTGGAGAGTTGTAGAGACCCTGTAAGAGGCTGCTGACCATTCCTTGAGGAAGGCAACTTCCACCCGAGTCACTTGACCAGGCCAAGCCACCACTCTACCTCTCTGTGTCTCGCCCAGCCTGCCCTTTACCCCAGGGCCAGCCACACAGAGGATCCGGCGATGCCTCTTGCCATACTAAAGAGACGTCACCAAAGAGATTCATGTGGAAGACAGCGATTCTGGACCTAAACACATCCCAAATGCCTCGAAACAGAGCAGACACCAACTCTGTGACCAGGGGACAGGGCTGCATCTGTGGTGGCAATGTTTTTACAGCACTTGGAGTAGTTAAAGAGAGCTGGGGGACCCTGGTACTTGGAGAAGCTCTCCTGTGAGGCCTCTGGCTGGTCTGGCAGGTCCAAGGGATGAGGGCCAGTTCCTGGGGAGCTGGACATGGCAGTGGGAAGCCATTGTGTCACCTGGGATGGATGAGGAGGAGGACAAGGGGAAGAAGGAGGAAGTTGGGGAGTATTCAGAGCTCCAGGAGTGTGGGCTGCTCCTTCCTTCCTGTTCTCTCTCCTTGGCCAGCTCTTTGACCCATCTCACTGCAAAACTGTCTTCGTTCCTGCTTCTCACCCACTGGGCTTGTGTTTTTCTCCCTTTCTCCTTCTCTCTTCCTTGCTTTCCCTCTTGCGTCCTTCCCTTGCTCTCTGTCAATCATTTCCTCTGTGCTGTGCTGCTGATGTCAGGAATTAAGGTCACAGTGCAGCTCAGGGATGGCTTCTGTCCCCCAAGCTTCCTGCTGCCTCCTCTGTCTCTTTTTCTGCCTATTACACACACACACACACACACACACACACACACACACACACACAGTCTCACAGGACTCACTCCCTTTGCAAACTTGGGGAGTGTATAATTTTTCTGGAATTTGCCTTGAAGAAAGGTTAGCACAGGAGCTGTATGCAGGGCAACTTCTGTGCCATTCATGGTTGTGGCAAATGATGCCATGGCAGTGTGTGCAGATAGGGCCGGCCTGCTCCTCATGGACTGGTTCGGCCCCTCAAGAGGAGAGGTGGAGAGCAGGAGACACAGGGCAGACCCAGGATGAGCAATCGAACAGACAACTCCTGCCATTCCTGCGGGCAAGAGGAGGGCAAAACTGGAGTGGCTGGAGGTGGGCTGGCAAGGAGATGTGGGTGAGGTGCTTCTTGCTGGTGTCTGTCAGTCCACCAGCTGCAAACGAGCTTTCCAAGTTTCCTGCTGAACCTGCTGCTCTCCACCCCTACTCCAGTACAAACCACAGTGGCCCCTCATGACTTCCAGACACCTCTGCCTCCCTCTCCAAGTTGCTTAGGTCAGCTGGATGCCCCCTCGCCTTTCTGTCTGCTTACACCCAGCGGAAGCCTTTTCCTCGTCTAGACCTCCAGCCATAAGCATTGCTTTTGGGGTTTTGCACATGGTAGGGTATCCCCAGGAACAGGCCTTCAAGTGGTTCTGAATAACCCGATTTTCTGTCCTTTGAGCTCCACAAATTGTTATGTTAATTCTCAGTGTACCAGCTCTTTCTTTGCTCAGTGTATTAGCAGATCTTTCTCGGTTCACCTCATGCACATAGTTTGGTTTATTTTTTTTTTAGCTCACATTCCATTGATATCATGCATTTTAATGGCTTGCTCTTGATACATGTTTGGGTTGTTTTCCTCTTTTTTTAAACTGTTAGAAATTTTGTTGCAGCAAGTAATTCTTTTGCCAACTTTCTACATGTACACAAATATTTGTTTATAAATATGTAACTTTTCAGTATTAAGCAGAGATGGCTAAATCCATGACTGTTGACAAAGACCTGTGGAGTTCTTTGCGCCAAGGCACATGAAGGTGATTTATCAGTCTAACCTGGGCATTTTAATTAGTTTGGTCTTGTGCTTCAATTTTCTCCCAATGTGTAGGATATCATTGACATTTTTTTATTTCTCAATTTGAGTTTTTATTATCTAGAAGCTTAAGCAAATGAGAAATGATAAAACACATTGTAAATGTTCACATTTTTAAAAATTACAGCAAAAGATACTTTTCCATCAATCAATCCTCCTCAAAATACTCCCCTTCACTTCAAACATACTTACCCCATTGTTCCACTTTCGGAAGCAGTTCTGAAAGTCTTCATTTGTGTCTTTACCAAGTTTGATAAAAAATATGGTGAATGCTGCTGCTAAGTCCCATCCAGTGGAAAGGAAGCTTGTAAAAACATGACACTGTGTCCTCATTCACCAGATCTGGCACTGTGTGACTCCTAGCTCTTCCCCAAAGTCAAAATGACCATTAAAAGGACATGTTTTGAATCGATTCAGGACATTGAGGCAGCCACAAAACCCAACTAAAGATACTCAAGAAAGAGGACCCCCAGAACTGCTTCGGAAAGTGGCAAGGATGACGGGTTAAGTGTGTTTTCAGTGAGGGGGTGGATTCTGAGGGGGACGTGGCAATGTATGTGTCTTTTACTGTAATAAATTTTAAAAGTTCAAACATACTGTAACTTTCAATCAAACTTCATATATTCAGCTGTGTAGTAGAGAGGTTATTCCACTCTTGCACAGACGCCCAAAAGAACTGGAAGCATTATATCCACACAAACGCCTGGCCAGGAATGGTCACAGCAATATCAACCATGATATTAAAAAATAGAAATGCACCTCAGGCCCATCAATGGGCGAATGCACAGATAAATTATGGGATGGTCACCCAATGGAGGGTTATTTGGCAACAAAGCAGAGTTAAGTAGTAGTACAAGGCATAACGTGGATGGACCTTTAAACCATGACACGGAGGATGACACAGCATTCGAATCCATCCACACAAAATGACCAGAATAGGTCCATCTGCATAAAGAAGAGGAGTTTTCCCAGGGCTGGAAGGGGATAGGGACACTGGGGTGATGGCTGAGGAGGTAGGGTTTCTTCTGAGGGTAGTGAAAATATTCTAGTGTTGCTGGGGTTTGGGCGTAACACCCTGTATATACTCAAAGCCACCAAGTCCCAGCTTCAGTGGGTGTCATGTGGTGGTGAATTTAGTTTGGTGAAGCTGTTGTAAAGCCCTGTGTGGGCAGCAAGCCAGGCCCAGCCATTTCCTGTGATGCCCTCAGTGCACACAGCCTCCTGTGCTTTCTTTAATCCTCACACTTCCCACAGTGCAAGACAAAGTCCAAGAAAACAACTGTACTATAGTTGGCTAAGGGCATCTGTTGAGGATGGTGTCTGGGGCAGGGATGGGGCTTTGCTGAGAAGGACAACAGGGCTCTCCTCTGTCCCTGCTCATCGGAGGAGGCCCAGGACCTGCACCAGCCCCCCCACCCCCTCCAGATGTGTGGTCCACATGTGTCAGCAAACACCTTTCCCCTTTTCCCGCCCCAGGACCAGCTCCCCGAAGCAGGAGCAGTCACCATGCCGAGATTCTTGCCCTTCTGGGGATGTGGCCCTGAGGACTCTTTTTCCTTCTTGTGGACACAGATGTCAGGTCCAAGAGGAACCCGGGGGCAGTTTCAGAGGCCTGCATGGGCCTAAGATCTTCATTCACTGACGTGTGGCCAAGAGGGAAATGGATTTCTCTGGGGATATTGCCTACTCAAAGAAGCCAGGAAAACGAAGGCACTCATCTTTCTTTTGGATTTTGAGGAGCTTTTTCACAAAAGGGAATTCAGCCCTTTGCCAGTGACTGTTTAGTGTCTGCTTCCATCTCCATTTTGTGGTGGTGGTGGTGGTGGTGGTGGTGTGTGTGTGTGTATTTGTGTGTACAAAACATGTGCTGAGTTTATTATTCTGTTCCACCAGCTCCTGTCTTTTGTACCTGTCATAAAAAACTGCGTTTAAACATACAGTTCTTTTTCAGACATTTGGGCTTTTAACTGGCTGACTCTCCAGTCTAGCTCCCTGTGTGGGATTTTATCTCTGGTGTCCCACACTCTGTGCTAATCTGAGTTCCAGCTTGGAAGGAGGATTGTGAAAACCTGTACTTCTGCACTCTGGGGCATCCTCTGTTGCCCTGGCAGCATTGCTGTGGGGTGGCTGGGTATCTGCTCCTTGTGGGTCTGGCCTGGGCAACCTATGATGGGACTGAGTGTGCAAACAGGATGGGAAAGTCCAACCAAGGATGATTTGAAGATGGAAAAGTGTGGTTGGTGGGCCTCCACTAGTGGAGGAGCCCAGGCCAGCCTGACTGTAGCCAGCTGATGCCTTCCTCTATTCTCCTGGTGTAGCTCCTACTAATGGCGATCAGCTCCTATGGCCTCCCCTCTCCTGGAGCTTTCCCATCCTAGAGTCCTTGAGCCTGGTGTTGGTGCCCCATTCTGCCCCTGAGAGCTTGGTCACGCAGTGGGCCTGATGGAAATTGCTGCAGAGGCCAAAGCCCAAGAGCCCATGGGGGTGGAGCTGAGGGCTTCAGGGCAATGGGAAGTGGCACAGGGTGGCTGACCTCACAAAGGGGCTGTAGGTGTGGCCAGGCTGGGCCATGAGGCAGAGGGGCCCAGAGTTCAGGCCCCAGCAGGCACCTGTAACAGGATGGGAAAGTCCAACCAAGGATGATTTGAAGATGGAAAAGTGTGGTTGGTGGGCCTCCACTAGTGGACGAGCCCAGGCCAGCCTGACTGTGGCCAGCTGCCTTCCTCTATTCTCCTGGTATAGCTCCTACTAATGGCGATCAGCTCCTATGGCCTTCCCTCTCCTGTAGCTTTCCCATCCTAGAGTCCTTGAGCCTGGTGTTGGGAAAGTCCAACCAAGGATGATTTGAAGATGGAAAAGTGTGGTTGGTGGGCCTCCACTAGTGGACGAGCCCAGGCCAGCCTGACTGTGGCCAGCTGCCTTCCTCTATTCTCCTGGTATAGCTCCTACTAATGGCGATCAGCTCCTATGGCCTTCCCTCTCCTGTAGCTTTCCCATCCTAGAGTCCTTGAGCCTGGTGTTGGTGCCCCATTCTGCCCCTGAGAGCTTGGTCATGCAGTGGGCCTGATGGAAATTGCTGCAGAGGCCAAAGCCCAAGAGCCCATGGGGGTGGGTCTGAGGGCTTCAGGGCAATGGGAAGTGGCACAGGGTGGCTGACCTCACAAAGGTGCTGTAGGTGTGGCCAGGCTGGGCCATGAGGCAGAGGAGCCCAGAGTTCAGGCCCCAGCAGGCACCTACCTGGCAGAGAATCAAGTGACCTGGGGACAGAGCAGTGGGGACAGGAGCCACCAGCTCAAGTCCTCACAGCTCAAATCCTTCTGGCCTGGTGGACCAGGGCCCAGTGCTGGTTCTGAGGTGGGTCTGTGTGGGGGCTATGTGGCAGGGCTGTGTGTGGCTAGGAGTCACTCAGAGGTCAGGGAATTCAGAGACCTTTGGGCTTGCCTTAGGGGACCATTGAGAGCCTGCAGCCAGAGGCCAGGCAGAGGAGCAAGTGACCATGGGGGACCTGGACCACTGTCCTGACCAGCTATGTCAGCTCAGACTGATGGAGGGCAAAAGGATCACAGCAGGGGCTGGGGCTGGGGCTGAGGCCGGGCAGGGCACTCAGAGGTGCTCGTGGTGCAGCAGCCACTGCTTGGTGGGTGGAGCATCCTAGACCTGTGGGTGTCCAAACAGGAACACTGTATATACTACAGCTTTCCTGTACACATAGACCTGGGATTTTATTTATAAAACAATAACTAACAGTAAAATAGAACAATCTATTCTAATGAAATTATTTAAAAGTTCTGAATTGCTTGTTTCTGGAATTTTTCATTTGGTATTTTTGGACCATGGTGAAGTGGGGAGGGTGAACCTGTAGGTACAGTGACTGTGGGGGTGCATCAGCTGTCTGAGGCCTCTGGGGCAAAGCCTGTGCTCCCTGGGGAGGGAGGACAGGGCCAGAAAGAGGCTCTGCAAAGGTGACTGAAAGGCGCATCTCTTGTGTTTCTCAGCAGCTGGAGAGCAGGCTGTGCTACCGTGTTCTCGTCCTGCTCTGCCCTCTGCTTTCCACTTACCTCGCATACGTCCTGCTCGTATCTCTCAAGCTACTCACTTGCTCACTCTCTGTGCTTAGCTCATGCTAATAGCTTTGCCCTTACCTTATGACCCCCATCTGGGCTCATTTTCAGCACAGAAGTGGGACGTCCTCGGGGCTAAGGCACCCTCCCCTTCCCCACTGGGATCCATGGAGAGGGTGTGTGAGATGGTAGGCACGGCTGCTTCCATGCATCAGTATGAGGCACCTGCTCTGCCTTTCTTGTCTCATTTTCTCCCTGGAAGCAGAGGTGACTCACACTATGGCTCCCATGGTGGCTGCTGGTGGTTAAATGGGACAAAACCCAACTGGCCTAGTAGCCCCTGAGAGCCCCCCAAATAGACTCCAGGCTGTTTCTGGGAGCTGAGCAGCAGGAGATGGGCAGGCACAGTACAGAGGTGAGGAAGCTGAGGAGGACCTGATACAGAAAAGCTCCTCCCTGGACACAAGGGGACTTTGAGGGCGAGATGGGGTCACTTGGCAGGGAAGAAAGCAGGTACAGGAAACGCATGGATGTATGAGTTCATCCTGAGAGGAGATGGCCAAGCCAGGACCAATGGGCTGAACCAGACTGTACATTTTTTGTTTGCCCCCTATCTGGAGAGGAGAGAGAAAAACCATGAAAGATGATTGTTACTGTGATCTGCTTTCACCAGTAAAGCCTTCTGATGCCAGGCAATTCTTGGCTCCCTGTAGGCACCAGGGGGTGTCTATGGTTTGATTTAATTCTGATGCTGCCAGAATCAGCCCACAGGCTTGAAGCTCAATCCACATTGCTGCCCGTCTTTAGATGTCAGTCTCAATCAGAGGGGCCCAGGCCACCATACTGCCTACAAGTTGGTTACACAGTGGTTTCCCAACCTCCTCCTCAGGCTGAGTAGTCTTAGTCCATTTTCTATTGTTAGCATACCACAGAGTAGGCAAATCATAAACAATGGAAGTTTATTTGGTTCTTGGTTATGAAAGCCAGGGATTCTAGGATTGAGGGATCTCTGTGCTGTGCCACAGCTTGGCTGGAGCCAACAATGGGGAGAGACAGAGCACATCCTTACAGCAAAGCCATACACAGGAGGTCCCTGCTCCCATTTGAGGGCAGAGGGTCCTTCATGAAGGGTGGAGACGTCACCCCCAACTGATCACCTCCTAGAGGGCCACCTGTTACTCTGTTACTGTGGAAGATAAATGTCCACTTGGGTATTGGAGGAGATGTGTGTTAAGGACATGAAGTTTCCTTCCCTTTGTGGCATGTCCACCCCTCCTCCATGTATCCAGCACCTGGAGGCCCCTGGAGTGCTGTCTAGGCATAAGTGGGTGAGTTGCTGGCCAGTGGTGATTGGCTCAGTCTCAACCCTCTCTACACTGGAGTCATGGGTGGAGTGAAGGTACCACATGACCCCCTGGTTGGTTGGTTCCCCAGTCAACCAGCCCACACCCTAAGGTTACCTAGGGGCACTCCAGGAGCCACCCTATTAGCTGAAATGCAAGTGTGGCCGAAAGGGCTTGCTGTGGATAACAAATATGCTACCAACACACCAGTCAGGAAATCTCCGGGCTCAGGTGCTGTGTGCCACAGTTGGAGATGAAGACCAAGTGCATATATATA